TTCCAACCTAGAAATCTATGAAATCTAATCTTACTCAGCTGTACTGTCAGCTTCCCGTCTTCCCCCAAAAGTTGTGTGGGAAAAAAAAATAACTTCTTATACGGAGTGAGCATAAGCCAGAAGCAGAGTAGAGTACGATCAGGCTGATGCACAGCAAAAGCTAGGCTTGAGGAAAGCTACAGATGAAGCTCCAATCTCTAGCGTAGTAATTCTTCATAGCATTTCATAGCAATACTGTTAAATTCCTCATTGTTTAAGCAGCTCTCATAAGCTTGGTTAGCACTGTACTCACACAAACCAAAATCTTCATTGCTGCTCTGAAGCTGTGATTTCCTGTATTGGCTGTTCCGTTGGCTATTGCAACAAAATTTGTTATCCTTTGTTTGAGAAAGCTATCGCTGGATCCTAGAAAAAGGAAAAACAAAACAAACAAAAAAGCTTACATACAGCTTATGTACATAGCAAATACTGCATCATCCCCTTTGCGGACCAATTCACGTTACTCATTGCCGGCTTTCTTTCTGCTCTGGAATACTTCTATTTTTCATACACTGGGCAAGCTGATGAAACAGTCTCCTCTTTGTTTATTGTTAACTATTAGCACTATTTGGGTATTGGACTATGCTGTTGCCTTTCAGATCTAAAGTAAAACTCCTTGGCTACCACTGTGAGTGGGGACATGAGGCAGTCATTCTCATTACCCCAAGCATTTACCATTTCTACACAGGATATACGAGAGCATGAGCGAGAGCATGCACACTGGCAAGGCTTTTAGGAACTCCTTGTATGGTGTAGAACACCGTCTTCCCAGAACTTTCAAATCTCTTAGGAGATAGCAATACCAAGAAAACTAAGGATTCTAGTAAAAGACCTCTAGTCTGTCCCGGCACTGCTGCCCTACAGCTTTCGATGTTGTCCTCTGTTTCGCAGCCTGAAATCCGCCACTCTAAACGCAGGCCCGCTTTCACTAGGGCCGTCCCTTCCATTGACCCTGCTACAGACGCAGCAGCCTGGGGCAGAGGAACAGCAACGAAAAGTTGCTGCGGCCATGTCCTTAGTGAGCATCAACAAAAACCTTCCCAGCAGAACAGCCAGGCTAAATGAATCGTTATGTCTTAACGATGAGAGGTATGGAAAATGTCATATTAGATAAATTAACCAGATGCTGGATTTGCCCTTGGCGTTTCAGCTCCAGTAGTCATAGAATTCTCCAGATGTTTATTGTACTTAATGCAATCCACTGAGTGGTGTTATGGTAATGACATCTTAAAGTCTCTCGCCTAAGGCTGTTTTCCAGTCTGAGGGAGAATGTACATTAAGAAAGCCACCTATTGCCCAAAGACAGTTTCTTTTTTTAATAAAATAAGTGCATCTCCTATAGAGTACAAGATGACTGACTACTCGTTAGTCAAAAATAAATTGTCTAGACGTTTCTTTTCAAATAGTTCCCAATATAGCTTTTTTTTATATATACAGTCAAGCAATTTCATTTTATTTGATTCTTGAAAAGCCTTATTTTTTTCCTTCAAAGATACAGCAGAAGTTCCAAAAGTGTTACGTTGTCTATTTTTGAGAGACACAGCAGCGGTCAAGTGAACTGCAGACACATGCTGAAACGGTTACCACTAGCTTAATTACAAATACAAGACAACTGATTAGGTGCTTTCTCCCTCCCTCTCCCCATTTTCCTTACTTCTGTACATGTGTTATAAATACATTTATAAACATCCACAAATAATTGCCATCAAGCAACCTTTAATGATAAGGACTTAATCAAAAATAACCTTTAGGCACTACTGAAGAGATGAAACTACAGCATGGTGTAAAATCAATTTCCTGCCTAAACTCATGCATCTTACTTCTAAACAGCAGCTCGCAGATTTAGACAGATTATCTGAAGCATTTGGATCGCTTTGCAGCTCACAGTTCAACAGTGACCACATACAGTAATTTCTGTAAAACACAAAACGTATGACAAAGGAAGAGAATAAGCAATTAAGCAATGCGTCTTTTTTAAAGTTACTTCTATGGATTTGGTGTGACTTCCAACTCTGCATGATGGTGGCAGGCTCTAAGATTTTTCCAGACACCACCAGTATTGTTCAAGGCTCTGAATTAACATACATTGATGTCGACTTAAAAATACCATGTATGTAACTACTACATAAATACATATGCAAAAAAACGGCCATATCCCATAAAATATAAAATGTTATATATATTCTATTAGGTAATGCTCACAGGCATAGCAATAGTTTTGTAACTATATCAATGTATTTCGTAGTATTATTTACACATGGAAACAGACAAACAGTACCATCAAATACATTGATTTCATCAATGCTACGAATCTTTTGAAGATCCTCGCTTGCAGCAAAATGATCTGCAACTCCAGCTACCTAGAAAAGGAAAGTGCTCACGATCCATTCAGTGCAATAACACTGGCTACAAAACTTAAGAGGAGAAAACATTTTAAGAACTAGGACCGCATTAGCTAGTGGGACCAAAAAATAAATAATTTTTGAGTTTAAAAGTTCAGTAAGATAAGGAAGAGAAATTAAGGTTACACAACAGACCAACAAGAAAAGAAAAATTCTGCAAAGTCTTTAGATTGTCACAAATCAGAAGCGTCAAATGTACATTTCTCATGTTTTGTTCCAGCTTCATCCTGACCATTCTCGGAGACAGCTGTCCCATAATCAAGGAAACGGCACATCACAGATATTCCTGCAGACAGGACGCTACGTAAGCCCAAATAAAGAAAAGAAAGATTAATAGACTCATCAATCTGACAGTCCTTTACCTCTGAGTACTTGACTTTATAACTTCGGTAGTGTTCCTCCATTTAGGTAAATACTAAGTAACACGAAACTTGCTTCTCAAATAAAAAAAAGTAATACTCGGGGCAGATGATAAAAATGAGGGGTTCTTACAAGTTGTGCATTATGCTTTCAGCACTGGAGTAGAGTGAGCCACCAACAGTTAAAGGTTACACAAGTTACTTCATCTTGGCATCACAGATCAAGCACCTGAATAAACTTCGGTGAACAGTCAGGTACAACTCATTTAAAAGGAGTGACCCTGCAGAGAAACCCCTTCTGGATCTAAACACCAGGAGAGCAAAAATAACCTCTACAGGGATGCCATGCACTGCACACATAAACACTAAAAGGCCCATCAGCCTTGGTAAACCTCGGCTGCCTACCAAAACACAGAAGTAGGCTGACAGGAATCCTAGAAATAGGTTTAACTTTATTTCCATATTTATTCACCTTTGCTCTCAAGACTTAAAAGACTCCTGGGCTTAACTGTAACTTGTACGAGATCGCACGTGTTTACTACCTTCCACAATCAGAATAATTAAGAATTCTCACAGATAATGAAACCCGAAGTCCTTTTACTAGTCTCAATGAGATACGGAAGATGCAGCTCTAGCTGACAAGTATATAATCACCAATCCCCATGCAGACTGTAAAATGTCACAAGGTACAATTGTATGAAAAACAAGGATAATGTGCTGCAGGCTTTCACACAAACAATTTTTCTTAAGTTCTCAACTTGAGAGTAAGCTTCTACCTGAGGGAAGCTGACGCAAAAAGACCGTTCTCCCCTAAGCTGGGTTACAGACAACTGCCCATCCTCCTGCTAAGTCATTGCAAGCCCTTGTAGTCTTACTTAAAGGTCTAATGTGGAACAAGAGACGCACGTATTGGCAACCATCACCGTGGACCACAGCCAGAACCTACAGAGCCTGGGAGCTAGGCTGCTGCGGTTTTGCCTCACAGCGGCTTCTTGGAGCAGTTCCACTGGTGGGAGCTCCACGCACTCAGGAGCCTACCTGTGGCACTTGACAGAGCATTTACACCACCCACACAAGACGGGCTGCTCTTGGCCTTTCCAGTTTTGAAAAGCACCCTCTGGAGCCAGGCCTACCGTGAGCAGAGTCTGGGACCCGCAGATTGGCCTCGCCACTCCTCGAGGCCTCATGGGAGTCACTGCTACCCTTGGTGATAGAGGGCCGGGCCACTCCACCAGCCATGAGGTGGCACTTTCCACTCGTGCAGGTGGCAGAGTGCTGCAGCCCCAGCGCTCCTGCAGCAGCGGTGCCCGTGGTAGCGTGTGCAGCCCTGCAGCTCACTGCCGCCCGAGACATCATGGTCGCCCTGCCCAAGCGCCAGACTTCCAGGTCCCCTGCGTCAGGCTGGATGATGCCACTCATCCCTCCTGGGAATGACAGCACCGTGGGGCAGCTGGAAGGAACGGCCCCATGTTGACACCACTGCTTCCTCTTGCTGTGGCCCCAGGGGCACAGACGGGCCTTCACCGCCACAGGGGAAGGATAAGCGGTGCCAGGTGCCACCAATTCGCCCCTTGCCCTCCCGCGGGCAGGGGAAACCTTGGCGAAGCTAGCGCAGACCTTCTCGCCATTTGCCATGACCACTGCTGTCACCCCAGGGGCGCACGAGCCCACCGTGCCGCGACGGGAGGCAGCGGAGGCTGTGGCGGCTTCTCCTGTTTATTCGTTCCATGCGCGGGGCAAGAGCGGGCGCTGCTCCTCGGTGGGCTGCAGCTCCTCGGCAGGTGGCAACTCATAGGTGACACAGAGGGAGGA